ATGAACGCCTCGGTCACAGCTATAGCCGATTGATTCGAGAGCGGCCAGGCCATAGGCCAGCATGAGAAATACTCAATGAGCAAGTATTTGTTGCCTTGCGCGGAAGTTGGACTGAGAATATCGAGGGCAACCGGCTCGTTGATTCGTGACGCCTGAATGGATTGCAGCGGACGGCAACAAGATTTCGCCAGTGGCTTCCGCCGCCACATTGTACGCAATCTTTAAGCAAATTTTCAATGTCAGGGGCCATGTACGGCCAAGAAATATCCAACTTGAGCGCAGCCAGCGTTTTTTGCACACCCAGATGTAACAGACGTTTATGGACGGCCCAAACAACCTCGCCACACAGAGTGGTAGGGACAACAATAGCGTTCCAGCGTAATCCACCATCCCAGTGCATGAGCAGCCCGTCCTGCAGGACAACTGAGGTGACACCACGTGTAGCTGCCTCACCGTAATTTAAGCTAGAACGCATCTTCCGCCTGCAAGCGACCCCACACCTCATAGTCCAACCCGATTACCGCATCCTGCACAACCGGGACGTCGCCCGACCCACCCATCGTGTCCGCGGTGGACACAACAAGAGGTGGGGGGGGGGGGGGAGGTTGACTCGGCTGGTCTACAACGACCGGAACCCGAAAAACATGCACACCCGCCGCCCGCGTTCGTGTGATGAAAACCTTTGCGATACGTAACATGGAACGAAAAATCCTGCAGGGTTTCAAGCCAGCGTGGTAATTGGCCTGAGGGCCGATCTACACGCAGCGCATATTGGAGCGCTGCTTGGTCGAAGCACAACTCGAAATGTCTGCCGTACAGATAAGGCGGGTATTGCTGCACGAAAACAACAATGGCCAACAATTCTCGGCACGTAACGCAAGTACCGCTGCTCGGACGGGGACAGCCCCCTTCTCCCATAAGTGACTATGTGCTCCACGCCATTGACAACTTGAGATAATACCTCTCCAATACCGGTATTACTGGCGTCCGTATCCAAACGAATGGGAATTAAAAATTGGGATAACGCAGGGGAGGGGCGTTGACCAGCCCATCGTGAATGGAGCGGAACGCGGCTTCCTCCTCCCCCCAATGAAATTTTCACCCCTTAGCAGTTAAGGCGTGGAGAGGCTTAGCAATGGATGCAAAGCTGGTGACAAATCAGCAATAATACGAAGAAAAACCAATAAAACTGCGCACCTCGCTCGCCGAGGTGGGTGTCGGCACGTGCGGACACACGCCGTCTTCTCCGGGTCCGTAGCGATACCCGATTCACTCTCTATGTGACCCAAATATTGAAACGATTTTTGGAGGAGGTGACACTTCTGTGGTTTAAATTTCAGGTCGGCCGCAGGCATCTTAAGAAAAACAGCCCACAGGCGATCCAAATGTTCATCAAACGTACGACCGAAGACAATAATGTCCAAATATATTAGGAACGAATCCCACTGGAGGCCCACTATAACCAGCTCCATCAGCCTCTGAAACGTGGCCGGCACGGAGTGGAGGCCCACAGGGAGCCAGTTAAATTCGAACAACCCTTGCGGCATACGAAAGGCCGTCTTGGGCTTGGAAGCATCATCGAGCGGAAATTGCCAAAATTCCAATAGAAGGTCAAAGGTGGAAAAGAACTATGCTCCTGCCAGGGCGTCCAGGGAATCGTTCATATGCAGCAAGGTGTATGCTTCCGCGACGGAAACCTTATTGAGCTTGCTGAAATCAACACAAATCGCAAGCTGCCATCGTGCTTCTTGACAAGCAAGATTGGGGCACCCCATGGACTGGTGGATGGTGAGATGATGTCCGCGGCCATCATCTCATCAACCGCCACACGAATGTGTTCCTTCTCAGCCGGGTTGTAAGGATTTTACTGAATCGGGGCAGCATCGCCTGTATCAATATGGTGGCTCAAAAGGGACGTACGGCCAATATCAAATTTGCTTTTACTAAAAATGTGAGAAAATTCACGCAAGAGAGCACGCAGCTTCCCTCTTTGTCCCATAGATAAATCGCCACACTCAGAGAAATGTTTACCAATCCATTCCTCGTCTACATCCCGGACACCGTGAGCTTGAGCACCGACCCCGACACTTCCCACAACGTCCCTTTCTGGACGTGCCAACGAAGCATGTGCCAATACAGTACTCTCCTGGATGACCGTTGTGTCCGGCCCGGCATTAAGAACCTGAATGAAAGGTTCTTGGTCCTGGGATACCAATGTCTGGGATGCCACTAGCGACATACCGCGATTAAATTAGTGGAGGGCTCCAAAACAACACCCTCATCCGCAATGTGCACATCGAGTGGTTTTCACAACCAGAGGGGCATTAACATTTGTGCGCCAGGCGGAATCCGCACTGTTCGGTACACCATAACCTGCACCGTCCCGTTAGCGGAAGACATACCAGTCAGCGGTGGAAGAGATACCATACGCCGTCCCGATGGCAATTCCAGACGGCCCTGATCAATACAAATCTTCAGGGGCATCTTGCCCAGAAAATCAGTCCTGAGCAAACACGGGATGGCTAGGGCCGTAGAAACCAGAACGTGGCCCGACAATTTGACATCGGTGATACGCAACTCCGCCATTGGCGGCAAAACATGGAGCATCCACAGGTTCCAAAAAGCGACACCAGGGAGGTTAATTAAATATAAGTTCAGAAATTATTCGGATTTCCACTCCCTCAATAAACCTAAGCATGGCCGACAAACCCGCAACCGCCACGGCCACTCGATGGGCCAACTCCGACCACTGATCCGGTCGGAGCAGGCACGCGTTACGAACACGTCCCGACTCCCCCCAAACCCGCGCACAACCCCGACCCAAACCGGACCCCCCTGATGGGTGAAGTGAACCCTGGGGCCGAGTGTGGCATGCGCTGCAACTCGCCTTATGAAGCAGGGAGTCGTAGGAAGGTGGACTTCCCGGGGGCTGCCGTCGAGGAACCCGACAGCCCGATTGGACGTGCCCTGGCACGCCACAGTTGTAGCAGAGGACCCGGTCACTCCTGGACTGGGACGATGAAGACCTCACCCGTCGTCGGGCGGCCCTCCGCCGATCATCAGCACCCCGATGGACGCCAAACCACTGGTGCAGTGAGCATGCAGGAGCAGGCTCGGTCTCTGCGCAGGCCTCCGACTCTGTGGAGGATGTTGCGCGTGCCACCAACACCCTGTCGTGGCGCAGGGTCTGCTGCGCCTAGATGCACCTGGCGACCCAGAGTGAAGACACCGCATCGTCCTTGGCGGGAAGCACAGTGTGGAGGTCTTTCGAGACTCCCAGCATCTTCTCGAGGACCAAGGCATCAAGACCGTCGTGGTCCATTTTAGGGAACGCGGCCTTTGCTAGCACCAAAAGCGCGCTACAGTAGGCGACAGCCGACTCACCCTCCCCTTTACGTCTTATGGCGAACTTTTGCCAAGGCATCGTCGTCGAGGGTGGCGGGCAGCGCTTTCAGCGCCTCCACCTCTGTCGATCTCGCCAAGTCGGCATTGGTGAGAAATCACCGCTTAAACGCTACCCAATCGCCGCTGGCAGCAACAAATTATTTAATGAAGGGCAGTCGGTGGTGGAGTGACGGGATGTCCATCGGCGAGGACAGCTCCGCTTCGAGATTGGCGGACTCCGTACTGGCGGTAAAATGGCGGCCGCAAGTGTGGGTTGCGCTGTCGATGTCCCCGCTCTTTGTGAAATGGCGGCCGAGTCGCTTCGTCCAGACGACTCCGCCGCTCCCTCCTTCACCGCAGCAGTTAAGAGGACGCAGCTCGGCGAGGATCGAGGACGCCGTCTGAAGACGCTCCGCAAGGTGACCGTGCGCATCTCTGATGAGCGCCTCCAATGATGGTGAGGCGCCACGCGCTCCGACGGCACTCTGCTCCGCTGGCAGCACCTCCGCTCCTTTATTGACGGCCGTGGGCGGAATCAGCTCTTCATCATCTTTGTCGTCTGACGTCCGTGTACGAACTCTGCGATGTGCAGACATGACTGTCTACCGCTATATATTTCCTAGCAAGTTGGCCACTTCCGACACCAGTTGTATGAGTCCAACTGAGTCGCAGATGTTGTCTTAGGGAGCAACACGTTTTTATTAAACTCTTAGCACAACATGCTCCAGGCTATTAACACAACATACTCTCGGGTGGTGACCACCCAACTAACCACGCTACGGTGGAACTAGACACGGTTCCACTAACCTGGTCCGAACCACAAGCTGGGTCCCGGACCGCGTGGCTGGAGGCTTCTTTAAGCTTGACGTGGATCTCCTGCCTCTCCAACAGTAAGAACCCCGAGCCCCTCACAGGGCCCCCCTTATATCGGGCCAGGCTGGGGCTGGCTCTGCCTCTCGTCCCACCCACCTTCTCGAACTCTCTCGCCCTTGCCCGAAGGCTCTCGAGAGTTCTTCCCGGACCATGTGACCACCCATTGGCCCCCTCTACCGGTGGCCCCCCTCCACGTGTTCCCAGGTCAGCCAGAGTATCATGCCCCCAATGTAACCCTTGCTGGCTGACATTCTCTTGCTCTCTAAACGGGAGCCTGCACCACACGCTGTGCGTGGTGCCTCCGTGTTTAACCAGCGCTCACCCAAGCCCCTACTAGGGCTGCTACTACACCCTGTGCCCGGGGTGTACCCACAACAGTAGACATCCCGCCGTAGCTTCACCGGCCCGGCACCACGCAGTGACATTTCCAGTCACTACACGTGTACTGGTCCTACAGCCAAGTGTGGCCATGGCAGTTTGTGGCAACTGTTGCCAGGTGGGGTAGGGATGAGCATTGAGACAATTATAGTGTGGGAATCTGAACCACATATTTAGTTGCCACACCCAACAAATGAAAAAAATGCCCTACCATATTAACGTTGAATCATAAGTGTACCCAGATATTATCACTAAAATAAAACTGAATTCGACTTGCAAAATAGTATGATGTAACTGAACCTCCACTTACTAGGCATATTAGTTTATACCAAAAATGGTGTGTGTGGGATTTGGTTTGTGTTTAGAAATCCAACACAATGCCTGCCTGTGGGTCAAATATCACCCGCACTTCTGGAGTGAGGGGATGTGGCTCTGCTGCCAGCAAACTGCAAGGAATGCCATCGGCTGCACGGAGTACCAGCGCATGAGCAGAGCTGGTGAGTCACTCGTGCATCCTTTCCCATTGCGATGCCCTTCTGGGATCACGCTGCTGCTGTTTGCCATTCTATAATCATCACCTAGATCTGGAAAAACGCTGGCGAACAGAGTGGAATAGTGTGGATGTCCAGAATCAACACCTCCTCGTCAGAGACCCAAATAATATCGCACCTCCTGGCTTTGACATTCCTCCTCAAAGACACTGGAATAATCAGCAATCACGTCAGAACATCAACAGGGTGATGCGCACATCTCCTTCCAAACTGGAACATTAAAGACAAACCACAGGAGTGCGATTGTGGCCATGCTACCCAAATAGTGGACCACGTAGTAATTCACTGTACAGTCGTCTGCCTCTACCTCCAATGGAGGAATAGCAAAACTACACGAACTCTCTTCTGAAGCGTTCTTGTGGCTAGCAGACCTCCACATTGGCACTCAGCTCCTGAATACATTGCTGCTATACGAAATGGAATTTTAAAAATACTGTATCTTACCAGGTAAGGTCCACAGAGCTACAATGCTTTTTTCCAGAAGTATCCTGGCCACAAATGATATCTCAACGAAGTGGCTTGCCGTGTTGATATATATAGCAGCCAAATACTCTAAACGCATGTTTCTAATTGTGGAGGGAAAAGTCAGAGGAACTGGAGAAAAATCCACACAACCACGGGGAGAGAGGCATGCAAACTCCAAATACACAGGCGTCAAGGTCGGGATTGAACCCACGACCTTCTGTATACCAGGCGAGGGAGATAACATCTCGCCACCGTGGCGCCCCTATATAATGAGGCTCAGGCAGGTTAGAGTTGTCACCTATTCCACAGACCAAACCCAGATACATTTCTCAGCCAAGGTTTATCAAACTCATCAGTCACGCAGAACTCACTCACCAACCACTCAACAGGCAATGACCACTCAGCGGACACTCACTGGATACCTCTCACATTCACACGATATGTCAATCACCTGACCCTGGCCAGGCACTCGTGATCATGTTGACTTATGTTGACTGTCTGTCTTGAATACTTGATGTTCTAATATGTTCCTTATATTCCCTGTAGGTAACACAGCTGTCCCAAATAACTTACCGGTAAGTTCACTTTACTATCTGTGAATTCCCTTGGACGTGTTTGTTAAGACTTTTAATTGTAAACATTACACTGTCAACAGCTAATTGTTAAAAGTCATAAAGTGTTCATTGAATGGTAGGTGGTAGTAAAGTGTGAATGTAATTGAAATGCAGTGATTTGTCGTCTGCCGAACGTCCCTGGATTGGTGAGGCTCTCCCTGCCGCATCCCCCCGGCATTTGGTGACAGGAGTGACAGACGTTCTGCATCACCTATGTGCCACCTGGGCAAAGATGACAATCGGAGAGTCGTACCAATTACGGCTCAGTTGGTTACAGCTCAATCAGTTCCGATTCAATCAGTCACGGTTTAATCGGTTCTGGTTCAATAAGTTACGGTCCAATCAAATACAGTTCAACCGGTTACGGTCCAATCATTACGGTCCAATTGATGACAGTCCATTCGGTTCAATATGGGTTGCATAGTTTGGTTGGGGTTAACCGTTAATAAAAAAACCGGTTTAAACCGGTTCAAAGATGTGCTCTAAATAGCATCATAGAAACTGCATTGTGGGGCACGGGGGGATGGGGATGTTGGTGGGGACCGTCGTTCAAGATGGGGACCATCCACGAGTAGTTATGCAACATTCCTCCAGCACTCCACCAGAAATGGCCGATATATTGCAAGGGACTGTCGTTAGTTACACTAGACTTGAGTTACAACATGGTGCATGTGAATTAATGACATTTTAAATATTAGCAAGAGGTACACATTCATTTGCATCCAGCAAAGATTCACCTAATAGAAATTGGGATGCTGCATTACTGTCAATCAATACTCTCTTTGCTGGCCGTGAGTATTGAACAATCCTCAAAATGCCCTTGACCACTGAGTCAGCTCCGTCTGTGCAGGAACACAATTACTCTTCTTATTTTATTGCCTGTTTGTGCATGGTGGGAACCCGAATTCAAGGACTACCCAGGCTGAGGTTGCCACCTGTCCGGGTGTTGGCATCATCTGTGTTTGGGTGGCAGGTATGTTTTTGTACTGAGATCTGGTAACCGGCGTGTGTTGGAAGTACACAGTTTGAATTTGTCTGTGGAAAAGGTAGCAACGCGTACCTCCAATGAGTACGGTTGGCTAGGTAAGGGGCAAAAGAAGTTCAACATACAACACAAAGGATAAGTCTGGGGTTCTTTACATGTGGAAGGCTGAACATATATTCTGATGGGCTTGAAGAATGTATTTTGTTTTTAAAACAAACGTGACGAAAATTGGAGATACTGTAATTAACAGGGCACATGGAAGACCAGAGAATGGGTTTGTCGAATTCCATACAATAGATAAGTGGAGAAATTTTGATTTTCAAGTGCGTAATCGCACATTCATTGTTTATGAGTGAGTCAAACTGAGTCGCAGATTTTTCGATTTAAAGCTTTCGTGACTGCAGGGATTCATCGTCTTGGTTCTTTCGGTAAAGTCACGTAGAAGGGAAGTAATAAAATATTAAAAATAAAACATAATAAAACAATTCTCACGACGTTTCGGCCACAACGCAAGCAGCCGTCCTCAGGTGAAACCAGGTCTGTCGAGGCGACAGCGTCTGAATGAAACAGCACACGTGCTTGGAGCATATATATAAGCTGAGTTGGAAGGGGGGAAAAGAGTGCCTTGACAAAAGAATATGCATATCAAGAGGCATTTAGCATATTTATGGGAAATGCAGGTATGTGATTAGTACTACTCATGCCCGTGCATTATGCAGGATTAGCAGCATCAAAGGGAGGGGATAGGGGTAGCATTAATAAAGGGAAGGAGTGTTAATAGTATGTAGCTGCAGTAACTAAAACCACCACGTAAACAACTAAAGTCTAATCTTAATTTTGGAGCTTTCGTGACTGCAGGAATTATTCTTTGGTTTTTTCGGTAAAGTCACGTATAAAAATAAAATAATAAATTAAATATTTAATTTATTATTTTATTTTTATACGTGACTTTACCGAAAAAAACAAAGAATAACTAAAGTCTAAACTACATAGTATCATCAGTATGCTAAATATACTCTACAATAAGCTGAGTTACTAACAGTAAGTAATACATTACAATTCTATGTCGTAAAACATATATAATATGCTTCCATCTAAACTTTATTCTCTTGCATCACACGAGTCTACACTGTACTATATACTGCCATAGACAAACCCAACATTAAATTATATACTGTATTGCTATAAACCTTATACATTGTAATATTGCACTATGTATTATTCTACCCACCCTAATGTATAGCACACTGCTGTATATTGACTATACAATTACGATACTATATATTACTTTGTACATTGTATTAAGCATATAAATGTTATACTATTTGTTATTATACACTGTACCATTGACCGTCGTGCGAAAGATAATAAGAGGAAGCAACGAAATATGTCAATGGGTGAGTAGTGGGAAAACTTGCAGCGGAGCAAAGAATCCATTCCCTGCGGAGAATACAATGCCAGTGAGTGGAACGTGGTCTGAAAGTCACCGTAAACGTGAACACAATCAGTTAAGATCCGAAATGGTTTATTACGTCCTTCCAATGATTGCTAAGCCAGAATCCATCTTCTCGGTTGAAATTGTCTCTGTGTTTGTAAATGTGGATCGCCTCATGAACGAATCTCTCATGGTAGCCAGATGGCTTGCAGAGAACCTCTGTCTTGGAGAAGTCAATATCATGTGAGCCCACTGAATTGTAACAGTGATCTGCCACGGCTGAGGTGTTTGTCCTACCGTGTTTCAAGTCTGCTTTATGTTCACGGATGCGGTCCAAAGTTCCTGTACCTGACACCATCGCAATCATTGAAGACTTGGTTCATCAAGGACTGAACGCTGGGCTACCTCCCCCCTGGTGAGACACTGCTTAACCAATACATACTTCACCTGGAATGGAACTTTCTACAAGCAAACTGGGGGCACCCCAATGGGCTCCCCCTATTTCCGGTTGTAGCCAACGTGTTCATGAAGAAATTTAAGACTGACGCCATCCAGACTGCCACTCTACGCCCGACCTTATGGAAGAGGTACGTAGATGACACTTTTGTCATCTGGCCAAATGGCCGACCTGCTCTAGACCAATTTCTCGACCACATCAATTCCATACACCCAGCCATCAGATTCACCATGGAAGTCGAAAAAGATGGCAAGCTACCCTTTTTGGATGTCCTAATTAAAAGGAGACCTGATGGTTCAATGATCCAATCTGTCTACAGGAAAGCCACCCATACGGATGCTTACCTAAAACCGGATTCCCACCTGTTGTATGTGTTGGAATTATGAAATTTTGATAAAAATAATAAAAATTAATAATTTTCCGAAAAATGCGCAAATCGCATTAATTATGATAGTGTGTGTATTAATATGCATAAATTATGATAATCACGGAGATAATCGTAGTAATTTATGCGGATGCTTGCGATTATGTTAATGTGTGCAGTTGTGATAATAAGGCTTAGCTTCGTTTATCCAGAGTTATATCAATCAGGATAACACGATTATCATAGATTATTTACCGATTATCCTAGTGTGTGTTATGATATTTTAGGTCTCCAGTTTCAGATCTCATCACAGGATACAGTTATCAAGAATAAGATAGTTTTGCATGGACTTGGAAAGAAGCACTCGAACAGTTGGTGTTAAGCAATTTTAATTCTAAACAAGCACATGACACTCTAGTATGCGAAAGCGAGTATACGTAAATACATTAATGGGCAATCTTATGCAATTAACGAAATTGAATGACTAAAAATACTTCTTCATTGGCGAAATTATGCAGTTAACGAAAATGAATGACTAAAACATTTCTTATTCATGTAACTCGACGGCAGCAACTGCTTTGCACGATCAGTTGATATTGAACGCACCACCTCGAAATGGCAACCCTTTTTGAAACGCAAAGACAATTTTTTTTAAAAGTCTTATTCGTGTGCGTGCTGTGTGTGCGTTGTCCCCTTGTAATATTAATTAATTCTTAGAGTCGGGAGTTGTGTCGTTAGCTTGTGTGGTGTGTGAAGATGCTCGGTCGCTCGTGTCGCTCGGTGTCGCTCGGTGGCGCTCGTTGTCGCTCGTTCGGAAGACTTTGACTCTCTGCTTTGCTCGCTTGGCGATCTCCGCCTTTCCTGCGGGTTGTTCGCTGGTCGTCACTCTGACGAGAAGCGATGCTTCGTTCGTGGCAGGGTGGACGTTGGCGTCTTTGTTGGCTTCACTCGCAGCTCGGCGACACAGGGTAGCGATTCTTCTCAGGTGGTGCAGACCTCGGCTTGTAGCTGTGCGTCGATACCCCGCGAACCTCGTCATTCTGGATGACGAAAACTTCTTCGTTGTCGGCGTTGAGATGAGATGGGGCCCAGGGCCTTTGATGAGATGTGGTGGGGGCCGGAGCCCCTGACGATCTGTGGTGGAGCCCGTGGCCCGGACGATCTGTGGTGGGGCCCGTGGCCCGGACGATCTGTGGTGGGGCCCGTGGCCCGGACGATCTGAGTTGAATGGATTTTTCCCCGGCTTATATTGAGAAAATCCACTCAGTCTTCCCGAGTTGTTTGAAGGCCGTCATATATCTTTCTGTGGGTTGAACACATCTGCGTTCGTGTGTTTCGTGTGTCGTGTGCGTGTTAATTAGTAAAGACCCAGCTGTGTAACCATTCTGGGAGGAGGGGTGGGGAATGTTATTTTGCTTGCGTGTGTAAATCTTGCAGTCCGTGCTGCGGGGAGACAAAGGCGGCCGTGTTTAACTCCAACACGCGCACCCTCTCCTCTCTCCGCGTCTCTTGCGAGAGAAAACAAACAAAAAAACAGAGCGAGAAGAAGCAGACACCCCCGCGACCCCGTACGCGACCTTTCTTTGCTTGTCAGACCCCGCTGGAAGACAAAGGTGGCTGAGGAGATGTTTGCAATACATTTATGTGGTCCTGTGTGTTACATTTATTCTTGAATTATATTTTATGAGTTCCTTCGGTCTTAGTATCGGGGTTATCATTCGTATATGTTTAATGAATATTCGTAATGCTCCTCGTCACATTATTATTTTGGGCTTCGCCAAGTTTAGTTCTCCAGAGATTGGTGTTTTATTTCGAGTTATATTTTAATGTCCTGAGGTTAAATGTAACTATGTTTCCACTTAAGCTTTCTGGAATTCGTACTCTTTAGTTTTTTTGGAAGGTCGTGTAGGTAGGAAACATATAATAATAGTAAAAATATTATTGTTTCACTATGGGGACCTCATTTGCCAGTAAAAATATGATAATTGGTTCTTTACCCTTCTACCTGGCAACAAAACTGACACCTTTTTGCAAGGAGTCATGTTTGCATAGACCGCAATACCTGCAGTCATAATACAAACAAAAGAACATAACTCTGATAATGTGCACTGTCCTTGAAGTTGATTGGTCCACACCCGAGACAGCTTTCCTTAGAGCCTAGTCTCATATGGGTTGGACCAGATGACGCCAAAAGGCGCACAACTCAAGGACAATGCACCATCAGAGTATGAGAGCTCGGGGCAAGCATCTACACTATGGGGACCTCATTTGCCAGTAAAATATGATAATTGGTTCTTTACCCTTCTATCTGGCAACAAAACTGACACCTTTTTGCAAGGAGTCATGTTTGCATAGACCGCAATACCTGCAGTCATAATACAAACAAAAGAACATAACTCTGATAATGTGCACTGTCCTTGAAGTTGATTGGTCCACACCCGAGACAGCTTTCCTTAGAGCCTAGTCTCATATGGGTTGGACCAGATGACGCCAAAAGGCGCACAACTCAAGGACAATGCACCATCAGAGTATGAGAGCTCGGGGCAAGCATCTACACTATGGGGACCTCATTTGCCAGTAAAAATATGATAATTGGTTCTTTACCCTTCTATCTGGCAACAAAACTGACACCTTTTTGCAAGGAGTCATGTTTGCATAGACCGCAATACCTGCAGTCATAATACAAACAAAAGAACATAACTCTGATAATGTGCACTGTCCTTGAAGTTGATTGGTCCACACCCGAGAC